TAGAAAAAATGCGGACCTCATTACTTGCTAATTTTAAAAATATCTAATTCACTCGGAGAAATTGTGCTTGGTTCTTCTTTCCAAGCGTTCATTATGCATATCTTTTTTTGTTCTCTTGTTACAGAATTTTTTTACAAAGAATCAGCTTTCCACTATTTCATTTAGATTCAAAGTTCGATCAGACCGCAAATAACTTTGGATCACACAAATCCAAGTGAGAACATTAATACATCCACTTAAATAACCATAGATCTCCTCGATAAGGACAATATACCCTAAATGACTCCATTCATTTAGATACAACGAATACTTAAAATACCCTTTAAAGATATCGATTACTCTTGAGGTGTAAGAATCAGTACACCTATATTCATTGTGTAAAAGCGCCCTTTATTATCATTCAATATCAATGGGAGGGTTTGCTTTTCCCTCAAAACCGGAATGTGCCAGAATAATAAAATCAGAAGGAGACTTCCGTAAAATCCAAACAACTGATCGATACAAACTATTTGAATGCACTATACTCTTTATTGCTACAAAGATAATGTTAGAGTTGACTAAAAAACAGACACCTGAAGTTCTCTTTTCAAATTCAAAGTTTCCAAACTTTTGAAGAATTCAATCAGAACAGAGCGGAAATGAATAATTATGGGGGTTCCTTTCAGCTTTGAAGCAAGGCCCCAGATTACGAGCCATCGCTAAGTACAAGTCTCCAAAGCCTGTTGTCCAACTTTCCCAATCCTCTTATTTAACACGAGATCATTTGATGATTTTCAACCTTATTTTCAAGAAGTTAGAGAGGAATCCTTACCTTAATCACTTAATTGGAGAAGTTGTAGCTTTTGATTTCCCCTTTTTTTTCCTTCTTCCCCTTTCTCACGGAATTCTCCTTCCTTCTCTCTCAGTGTTCTTCTAGATTTTTTCTCTTTTTAGCTTTTTTATTGAGTCAAAAGAGTATCAAACATACAACTATATCTATGTATAATTAAGAATCATTATCACACCAAAAAACCTTAGAATTGTAGCCAAACTAGTTAGTCTCTCTTGCAACAGAGCGAGCCAAACATTGACTTAAGTGAGAAGGCGAGAGTATACAAAACGAGATGAGAAATGAGTTGCTTCCTTACCGTCGAACTAGTCTCAACCACCGAAGATATGATGCAACGTTTCGCCTCTCACTGCAATTGATTGATCCGCTCTCTATTTTGAGTGCATTGTCGGTTTGTGATGCCTTCTTTCTCTGTTTTGGGAACACTGCCGCTCAGCTTTGTTAAAAGACCTCGAAAAGGGGCTTCAGGACCGCAACTCGTTGTTTCTGCCTTCAATCACCACAAGCTATTCGGTTATTAGCAGTCAATTCAGGAAACAATGGTTTTAATAGGAAACCCCTTTCCCTTCCAACGAATTTTGGAACCCCTTATTTCTTGTCCCTCCTTTCTTCTACACTTACTTATCTTATAACCCACTTTAGACCAAAAGGAAGGCAAGAGTCAGGTTCTTTGTTAATAAAACAAACAATAAAGGGATAGAAGGAATGTAAATGCCACAATAGGCACTTGAAAGAGCGAAAAATCCTATATTCATGGCTTTATAACCCAATTATAACATATTGGGCGATCCCAAATCGGGATACATTAAAATATACATTTTAAACATTATTGGCAATCCCCTAATTGAGGCTACATAAAATACATTTATCTAAGATCTATTCTATATGTTGTCCTTGACTTATTTTAGGTAAATCTATTCACCCAATATGGCTTGTACTTTAATAAATCAATTCTCCCGTTAATATGCATATAAAGAAAAGTAACAGATATTCGAACGCAATAGGCGTTTATTATGAATGACTTAACCCAAAATCTATATTCCAAAGCCTCTACCTCATCTTGTTCTTTACATTGGAAAACTCCCATAGATCCTCGTAAGGATATCAAATCTAAATTTATTTGGACTCTTAGATCCCAAAGTTCTCATTCTCAATCAGGAGAGTCTTATTCTGTCTTAGAATTACAAACAGATTATTGCTTTTCACAATATAATAATTCGCTAGTGAAACACCAGATTTAATTAATATAATACTTAGTAGATAAAAATTTAGTTTTATTTTGGACAACAATATTATGTAGGTGTTGGGGAAATCAAAACTCCCATACAAACAGATTTCTGTAAACAAACACACAACCTTTAAGAAGTTTGGTCCCATGACCAAAACTTTGTTCTTATCTTTGGTGCAAATCTCGTCGAGTCGGGAAGCAACTCGGACGTTCTAGTTAGTATTTCAGCGGAATTAGATGAAAGAGTAAGTTTCGGAGATAGTGGTAGCGTATGTCATCCTAATACCCAATTTCGAAGATACAAAATGGAAGCAAAAGTTGTATAAGTGAACATTTGCCCAAGTCAAAACACGTAATTCCGAGAGCATTATCATATACACATAAGAACTGAGCCAGTCAACGACTATCACTATTCAAGTTCCACAGAGTGGGTTACTCTAATCCGGACGGGGAACGTTAGACACTTATACTAAAACTGATAATTTGCTCGTTCCGAGGAGAGCGAGTCGTGAATAGACAAAATGATTGATAAAACCAAGCACAAAGGTAAGATTTGTTGTCGTTGTCGAGACTAGTGTTTCCTAAATACAGCGCATATGGTAACGTTGCTAAAACACTCACAAATAGATAATAAAATCATAACCTGTATTCGCTTTTCCAAGTATTTGCGTACTTAGTCTTGCACATACTAGGGATTAAAAAACTCTTGCTTGCCTCAACGTATCCAGCCACGCTCCAGGGCTGAGTAAGTTGTTGCGGTCGTCCTTAAGGTAGTCACCTTGAGTAGCGTCACTAGTCACGGGTCTCTCATCCGTAGGATACACTTGTGGACCCAACGGTTCTTGGGCTTTATTTGGAGGTGTGTTTCGAGTAACCTATGTTTGTTGACCCACACTATATTGATAACAAACTCCATTCGAGTCGGCGCCAAAAGCCTGGACCCCACAATAGACTACTTCCCACCTTTCCCTACCAAATAGGGAGTGTGATACCGTACACTCCCACTTATTTTATCCCACGGTTGTGGTGTAGTTATGCCATATAAGGAAGCTACTGGATACTCAACTCCTGTCACCGACCACCAAACTCGCCCCTTAGGAGTTTAGAGTAAACTATTGTTGTTTTTGCCATAGAGAGAGTAGAAGAAAACTGAAGCACCATAAAATAGTCAAAATAAGGTATGGGGAATGAGAAGGTTTTTTTTTTTTCATTGCCGCCAAATAGCACAAAAGCTTCTCCCTCCAAAATTGGTGATAAAATAATTTCTTCCCCCAAAATTTTAAAATGTTAAAATTATTGATGAAAAAAAATGATATTCTTCATCAAATAGTTTTCAAAATATTTAAAATCAATTTTTTCAAAAAAAAAATATTTAAAACTAATTGGTGACAAAAATATTTCTCACTTAATAATTTATAATTGGTGATCAAATTTTTGGTTCTCACAAAAGTCTTCAAAATTTTGGCCGCCACCCAAAAAAATTAGAGGGAAAAAACCTTTGGTGACGAAATGAAACTTAATTTTTTCTCACCTAAAAAGAAGTATTTGTTGACGAAAATAAATTTCGTCACCTATTATTTTTACTTTTTTATTATATGTGACAAAATTTTATAATTCGTCACGGATTATTCTTATTTGGTGACGACATTTATTTTCTTCACTACTTTCGTCACCAAAGGTTACTTAGAGAGCTAATTAACTTGTGTTTTATTTTGAGATAGAGAGAGAGAGAGAGAGAGAGAGAGAGAGAAAAAGAGAAAGAGGGGAAAGGAAAATTGATAAATAATAAAGAGAGGGGGGAGGGGAGAGAAAAAGTTAGTAGTCTATTTTTTGCATTACCGCCCAATATGTCAAAACTTGCCCTTCCAAAATTAGTGACAAAATAATTTCCTCACTAAAAAGCCTCAAAATATTAAAAATTATTAGTGATAAAATTATATTTCTCACCAAATGGTCTTAAAATATTTAAAATCAAGTTTCTCAAAAAATATTTATATATATATATATACAATTATTGCTGACGAAAACATATTCCTCACTAATAATTTTATAATTGGTGACAAATTTTTTTCTCACCAAAAGTCGCAAAATTTTGGCGCCACCAAAAAAAAATTAACGGAAAAACCTTCGGTGACGAAACTTAATTTTTCCTCACCTAAAAAGAAGTATTTGTTGATGAAAATAAATTTCGTCACCTATTATTTTTATTTTTTTATTATATGTAACAAAATTTTGTAATTCGTCACGGATTATTCTTATTTAGTGACGAAATTTATTTTCTTCACTACCTTTCGTCACCATAGGTTACTTTTGTTGTACCCATAATCTGCGGTTTGTTCATCAAGATGGTTAGGGGTTCGGTACCAATGTCATACTTTATTTTTAATGACAGGGTGTTTGAGCAGTTTATGTGCAGCTCGATTAATCCCAATACCAATGTCATACTTTGCATTCTTTTCCATCCAAAACTTGTCAATCTCCATAGCATCATCTCCCTCATCACCATGCTTCCTCTTCTCTCCCGTTACAACATCAATATGTGTCGCCCGCCCTTTTCATGAGACCATATCATGCAATGGCTCATAGATGGCTCAAAAGAGGCTGGTTGAGATTGGTATGTGGAGATTTTATATTAGGGCAGTGGTGATATTTCAAAACACAAAAAAATGGTAATAATGAACCAGAAACCCAAAAAAAAAAAAAAAAACAATGGTCACAATCTATATATATATAAATGATATACAAGTTCATTCTTTAGATTCATTTTTTTAGACTCAATGATGTGTAAAAGAAATGATTAACTAATAATTAGAGAATATATCAAAGAAAATTACCTTTGATATTCTAATTGATTATCACATTATTAATCGGTTTAAAAAGTGAATATAATTTTTGAGTTAGGATTGCAGTGCCAATATATTACTTAACATTGGTATGTGGAGATTTTTATATTAGGACCAAACATGTACCTAGAGCTCTTTTTATTCATTGCAGAAGCATTACTACAATTTATTTTTCTTCCATGTATGCCAAATTTATTACAAGGTACTGAAGAGCAAGCTTCCATGTCTGCTAATTTTTGTTAGCATCCTAGCAGCGGAGATTATTACCAGGAGAAACGCCAAACTGTTTGCAATAGTCAGTGTAGTACTTAACACGAGCACTGACTGAATTCGAGTCTTTACCATTGCACTCAAGGTTACCGTTGATGGCACGAATTGTTGCACCAAATCCAGAATTCATTTTAGAGTGAACATTGTTCATCCAAAACCACAAGGCTGTCTTGAATGACACAACTGGGTCTTTTGCCACAATTTCGGGGTTGTTTAGTCCATCGAACCCAATGCTTCTGCCTGCAGGACCATAGTTGTAGTTCCATGACAGCTGAAGAGGACCTCTTCCATAGTATTTCTTGTTTGGTGCACATCGGTACTGGGTATTTGAACTGTCACAGTAGTTCCTAGAGGCACCATTTATCTCTTCAATATAGCAAAAATCTGCCAATAATAAAAAAAAAAAATTGTGTTAGTTATGTGTGATATTCATTTCACTCCTCCAGCAAACAGGGACGGACCCAGAATTCTAAAAGGGGCGGACATATCAATATGATCAATTAACTTGCCGACTCTTCCACCGTTTTTTCTTCTCTATACATTAAGACTTGTAATTGACACTAGTTATGAGAAATTAGATAGACAACAACTTAAGTTAAAAAATATATAATATACAGGGGATGTCCACTTAAAATTTAAAAACAAAAATCTAGAAGGGGCGAAACCAATATAATTTAGAAACAAAAAATAGTTAATACTATGAAATCATAAGTGTGGATTGGGAGAAAGCGATGTAGAAATCTTACGTCCAGTCTCATGCGTGGCATGTGCAAAGAAAGCAGCAATTTCGCGCTTAGAATCGTCAGTAGTTCCAGTAGTGCCGAATGAAGGGTAGGAACCGGTGGCTTTAAGAAACGCAGACCTGGTGTAGAAGCTTTTCCCTGCACATCCAGCAGAAGCTTGTTTGATTATCCCATTGAAAAAGGACTGTGTCACAATATTAGAGACCGAAGCACCGTTGGAACCGGCGAGAATTCCGGCCAGAATGATTGTCAGTAAGTAGGTTTTGAAATTGAATGATACCATTTTGGAATAAAGTGTGTGGATAGAAGAGAGGTGTACTATGGGATGAATTTAAGGTTGAGGGAGACATGTATTTATAGTTGCACAATGAAAAATGCTATGAAAATTCAAATAAAGGAAAAACTATTAATAATTATATTAATGATGGGGTGGTTGTGGTGGTGGAAGGAACGGGGTGAAGGTGGTGGTTGGTGGCAGTGGCAGTGGCAGTGGCAGTGGAGGAGATGATGACACTGGAAATGCAATGGTATATATAGATGGCAGTTGCAGTGTGGTGATAAATTTTAATTTAAAAAATGTATTTATATTTTAAACGTAAACAATATTTCTCTCAAATCTAATTTTTAGATTTTTATGCCTTTTTAAAAGTAAAAATATTTTCCATTCAAATAAGTTTATTATCTGTTGATCATAAAAAATAAAAAAAATAAAAATTATTTGTTCAAAAAAAAAACGATTTTTATTTTTATTCATTTTCTTCTTTCATTAACATAACATCAGAAAAAAACAAAAAAAATAAAAAAATAAAAAAATCTAAGAAATATTGTTTGCCAAACAAAACAGAGTGGTTTTTAGATTACAGTTTAGCATGTAATTATCTGCAATTATCTAGAACGCGAGTAGGAGTAATTTTTCTATTTTTCTTTTTTTTTAGAACCTCCTTAGTAGTGTGTTGAACCAATGACATACTAAATGAATATAGGGAGAATTATATAACAGTGGAAAGATAAAAATATACATATATAAATGTGATAAATATTATAAATATTAAAATCATAAATTTTTTAATTTTTTATAAATATTTTTTATTTTCTCTACTGATTTGTAATTCTCCATGAATATATGGTCTTAAAAAAAATCCCAACTGTACGGTCCAATCCGACCTACTGTAAGTCTATTTGGGTCCGTGTTACTAATCTAAACTGTTTATTTTGTAAGACTCTTTGAAAGATAATGCACACCAAAATCAGGTTAATTAAACATCAAGAACCACTCAATCGGATCACATTTATTTGAAAAATAATTAACATACTACATTTAAAATTTTATTATCTCTACAAAATGAGTAGTTTGGATAATCGAGACAAACCCAAAATAGGTCTATAATAACTAATTGCGGAAGTAACGTAAGCAAAAGATGAGAGTTTTTGAAAATTTACAATGCTCTATTATGTTGGTTTCAATGCCAATTTATAGAATACATTCGTAGATACAATCAATAAAAATCCAACAAGCTATTACTCTAGAAGTCAAAAAGCCTACACTTAGGCTTATTAATTTCTTTATACTAAAGTTTAAAGGCCTAGTAGTAGGCTTACACCAATTTTCTACGCTATGTATTTTCACAAACAAAAAAGTCTTCAATATAATAAATACAAAGACTAAGTAAATACATATGCTATGCAATCCCCCTCTCTCGTTTTTTGAAAAAGAGAAATTGTTTTGGGTAAGATATGGCTAATGTTATCTTTTTTATTGTTGCTGTAGATGCTACCACGTGTGTTGGATAAGAATGACGTAGATTCGGTATATTTGCAATGTCTTCATGAGCCCACTATACTTCCATCATATTGTCTAGATTGTACATGGAGACACAATTTTCGAATAATGGAGAATCTTGTGGTAGACTCCATTATTTTGTTTTTTAAAAGCTTCCACTTCATTAACTTGCATTGCCAATTCTAGAGGAAGATCTAACAAATTCCTTTTTGCTAGATTGTTGAGAAAATCTTATGCTTCACTTTGTTGCGTAGCAGTTCTTGTATATGAAATTGGCTCCATAGTAACAAACAGTCTTCTTCCATCAGTTACCATGAAGGGCAATTCACGGCAACTTTTTATGCTTTGTGCCACTTGGGACAACAATATTAGGCTTTCTACGCAATAATATTTAGCACATAAGACATTAATTAGTTCACAAGGATTAACAACCTCTTTCTTTGAATTTATTAATGGTCCATCATGAGCTAATTTCAGATATAGCTGATAGAATTTTTTCCTTTCACGCCATCCAATGGTGCTAACATTCCAAAAAGTGAAATATTTTTCCATTTGTAATTTTTATTACTTTTGAGAGCATTGCCTTGATCATCTCTGGAAAATCTTTTCATTGTATAGGGTGAGAACTTTGAAGAATAACTTGATTAGTTAGTCCCTAGTCAATTTCTTCAGAGACCTTCCAATCATTATCCTTATAAAACCATTCTTGGGTATCTAAGAATAATGTGGTTTTTGGAATATCATCTTGTAAATTAATATTATCAATTGATTTGGAAAGAATTTGTTTAATTCTTTCACAATGATCTTCTACTTTATCTTTAATGAGTCTAAAAATTTCACAGGGAAGAATTGTTCTTAATTTTTTAAAAAGAAAAATTCTTCTAATTGTTTTAAAAGAGAGATTTGAATATTCATGGTTTACGAATTCGGAAATTTGAAGAAAAGTATTTATTTTTTTCAAATTTAAAATCTTGATCTAAAGTCATTTGTTTAATGAGTTGGAAACAAAGTTTTTGTAACTTATTTATTTTAATGGTTTGTTCCACCAATTGAAATGATAAATTAGACGTTTGTAATCTAAAACCTTTTTTGTTTTCGGAAATGTGGGCTTTCCACACACCATGTAAGACAATATAAATTTTTCTAGAAATACCAGGATTAAAAAAGTCTTTAATTTCATATTCATCTGGATTAGATTTTTGAAATTCAATAGGGATTGGATTGGTTTACTGCTGCTGAAAAATAGGCATCAATGGAGCTATAAAGAAAGCCTTTTTAGCTTTTGCCAAACTATCATATGGTTGATAGCAAATTCTAGGGAACCCCACAACTTGCACATTGCAATATTTTCAATTTGTGTAAATTTCAAATTGTCTACTCGAAAAAACAACACAAACTTTTTTTGTTTTGGGGATTTTTTTTTTTAATTGTCACCAATTCTTTGTCGGACTCAGCGGGCTATTTACCCTTATTCATGGTTGAAAAGAGAAAAAACTAGTTAGTGATTTTTGCTTAAAAAATTTGCAAGAAAATTATTAGTTCCTTTTAAATGTTCAACTGCAGAAGTATATGTAGCAATTTCATTATACCATTGAAGTCAGCGGCCTTCTACAATATTTTTCTTGTTAACTAAAAAAATCTTTTATCGCTCGATTGTCTATTCTAACAATAAAGTATTCAGGAGCAAGATATATACGGAATCTTTTTAAAGCAATTTTTATTGCTAAAAGTTCTTTTCCAAAAATAATATATCTTGTTTCAACAGATTTAAATTTGCCAAAATTTTATCCACAAATTAATTCATAATTCTGAGTTTTTATGGAAATAACTTTTTTTCCTACTTTTAATTCCATAACTACTTGTTTCTTCAGACTCGGTCCAAAATTGAGAAGGTATTGCTTATAATACACATCCCCAACATAAATATGAGACATCCATTTCAAGCATAAGTTTATCTCCTTTTTTAGGTAAATAAACTATAGGCATGACTTTAATACTGTCTTTGATTTGTTTAATTAAATTGGTATCCTCTTTTGACCAGCAAAATTGTACATCTTTCTTTAATTTTGCAAATAGGGGAAGTTCTAATTTTGTTAGATTTTTGGCGTAATTTCTCCCATAATTAAAAATTCTTAAAAAACTTTCAAATTATTTTACTTCAGTTAATTCATCTAGAAATTCTTTTACTTTTGAAATAATATGTTCTTGTAATTTTGATCCTATTGATATAAAGATTAATCCTAAAAATTCTATTTCTTATTTTTCTATCTCTATGACTAAACCGTCTTATTGAATATCCCAACTAAAGAAAATCTAACCCATAAATTATAAAATATCACTAAGATAAGAACAAAACCAAATAAATGGTATTTCAAACTTAAAACAATTCTAGAGACCTAATAGATAATTGCTGATATCACTAGTTAGTGGAGGAAGGAATAAATGGTATTTCAAACTTAAAACAATTCTAGAGACCTAATAGATAATTGCTGGAATCACTAGTTAGTAGAGGAAGGAAAAAGTTCTTATATATCAGTGGAAGAAAATTTGGAGTTGCCCCAGTGGAATGTGAAAAAACATTTGGAAAGAGATCACATTTCTTGATTAAAGGATAAACTTATCCAACTTTATCACTTACTCTCACTTTCATGACACACACATTACACAAGTGGTGCTACATTTCTTAATTTTGTTTCTTATATTTTATTTTTAATAATGTGGTTCACCTCCATGTAAAGTGACCCTACACTCATTTCCCTCTCATTTTTAACCTCTCTATTTCCACATCATCAAGAGCGAAATTAGAGGAACAAAATTAAAAAATGAATCATTATTCCACGTCACACTTCACATTACTAACACACTGCACACACCACACCTCTCCCTAAAACAATAAATTTAAAATTTATGCCTTTTATTTTCTTTGATTAAAATGTATATAACATTTGATATATAATTTGATTTTTGTAATATTAAAACGGTTCAAAATGTATTAATAATATCTTTAAAGTTAGATTAATAATAGTACAATCAATTAAAAAAATAAATTAATAATTCAAATAGATATAAAAAAATTAAATATATTTAAAATTTTCGATTTTTGAAAAAATGATACCATTGGAAAGATATGAACCATACTTTTTAAAATGGGACTAATATTAAATAAATTTAATAAAAAAATTAAAATGATAAATTAAAGTAAATAAAAAAAAATCACTTTGATTGAAAAAAACAGTCACTAATATAATTTTTAAAAATTATGCACAGAGTAAACTTGTACTCAAAAATTTAAAATTCATCAGTTTACAATTCTTTTTCCACACTCAACTACAGGCCCATTTCAATTCTTCTCCGAACTTTCCCCTTCTCCATTTATAAGTAATTTTTCCTCCACTTATCAATAAAGTGGGGACCGATGATTTCTCACCACAATATGATTACCTGGTACCAAAGGAAGAGGAATGTGCAGAGTCATTTGTTAGGTTTTTATAGTTGGTAATTTATTTGATAATTTTTTTTTTAATTGTAATTTTATTTGCCTTTTTATTTCAATGAAACTATGAGTGTTTATGTGTGAATCCAACCCGAATTGTACTTATGTAGAGAAGTTTGTAATCTTGATCCTTTTATGTTTGCCACTTCGCTGACTATGTATGGGGATCGAACTGCATGATCAGTTCGCGGGGGT